AAAGTTATTCTGTGGAGGCACATTTGATGCTAAATTATTTTGAGGAGAAATGCCAGGTTTAAAATTATTTTGAGAAGGAATACCAGGTTTAAAATTATTTTGTTGGGGGGATGCACTATTCTTCCACAATTTATTTTTAATAGAATATTGATAATGAAAATTAACCTCTTCAGTAACAACACTTAATGCACTCTCTAAATTAGTACAGCCCTTTAGACGAACGATACGTAAAAGATCTTCAGATAAATTATAAAGGAATACATTAAGAGCCGTATTATTATAAATGATTAATTTGGCTGCTTTAATACTCTCATCGGTTAACCTATTAACCTTTGAGGTTAGGGAACTTTTAACACTTTGTATTCTTTGACAGAACTCTATATATGATTCTCCAGATTTAATTTTTAATGATTCTAATTCTATTGCTATACATTCTTCTGAACGCGGGTCGCCGAAATGTTGAGTCAATATATCTTTAAAATGATCCCATGATGTAATATTTTGATTTTCACTTAATAGCGTTGCCGCTTTACCCACTAAGCGACTAGTTATTGCATGAAATAAGTATAAATTTTGGGCGGCATTACCTTCGACTCTAAATTCTTTTATCACATATTCACTTTTTGCAATAAATAAATTTAGTAAGTTTTCTGTCCCATCATATTTGGGAATCAAGGACAAAACCTCCCTTGGTACAAATTTAAATGTTTCCATTGACATTTTTATTCTTTAATTTTTATATATAAAAATACAATATAATTACTTACACTTCTTTAAATTACTTATATAATTTTGAATTTGCAATAAATCCGTACTAATTAATAATATAATTTCTTATCTATCTCTATATTTAACCTATATTATATTGCCTATTCTTGTGCAATATAATTTTGTTTTATCTATCTATATATTTAATCTATATTATATTGCCTATTCTTGTGCAATATAATTTTAAAACTACAGTTCCTAATCTAATTACACTCTGAGTACAATTTTATTCGTAGATTTGGTACGAAACAAAATCAGATAATGTAATAATATATAATATGTGGAATAAAATGAAATTTTTAGCGGGAAGTGAAAAGGTTTACTCACCGCCAGCCCAATTCCATTCTTCCTGAGTCACTAATCACACACTGCACCGGATATTATTTTAATGCTCTTCTATTTGACTTATTTATTTGATTCGCGGATTTTCACTCTGCTATTAGACAGTCCACGGTATTTCAAGAACTAAGAAAATCGATTTGAGTATTTTCAATTTAGTTATATACTCGCGGGATGTGAAAATCCTACCGGCTGCGCCAGTCAAAACGCGAGGTCGCGCTGGAGCGTTTTTAAAAAGAATAAAATTTTATTTTTAATTAATATTTAATCAACCGGTTACATTGGTGATTAGCTTAAGACTAACTTAATATCTAATTATCGAGACTGGGAGCTAGACAGTCCGTCAGCATATTCCGTGAGAACACGCGTGGGTGTTTCCGTTTAAAGATTAGGAAATATGTCTTGTGACTGTATAACTATGTATGTTACTTACTATGCCAAGGATTGAATGTTGACTACATTCAGTACTCGCAATGTTTCTTTGGTAAAATCCTGTTTATTGCTTTACTTTAAGGTATGTATGTTATTTTTGTACACAATGCAAGTTAAAGTAAAGTCATGCTAACATCCTGGTCTAGCATTTCTGCCACATTAAAAAAATCTATTTTTAGCCTCCCTGCATAGATTATACGATGTGATAAGTCTTATAAACGTTAGGTCTACCTGTTAGTACCTAGAAATACACATAATAGGGTATTTTTTCAGGTTCACAATATGTTACAGACCCAGGTGCGGGGTACATTAAATTTATCGAACCAATGTTACACGTACAGGCGAACACAAAAGTGTTTATTATAATAGTTAATTAATTAAAATAATAGAGTGGATATAGATAATTATTTTGAAATATTGTATATATTTGACTTTTTATTATAACTATCACACATTTTAGTTAAAAATGAGATTTCTAATTCTTTTACATTTTTGATAGTTTGAACTACACAAAGTAGCTTTATTACTTTTTATAGTTTAAAAAAATATATATACAATTTCTTTAATATAAATTTCCTATGATGTATTCCATAAACACAAAAGAAAGCTTTAAAATTTTCATGCGCAACTGTAAATCTCGTATTAGGGAAATGCCAAATTTCCTGTTAAAATTTCATTGAAAGACATAGATAATATTTTACTGAGCATTATCTAAATAATCCTCATTCGTTTCAGAATAATTTACGAATAATCATCCTTCAACAATCAATCATCCACCGACCTACCCTAAAGACTTCTTGTTTTTTAAATTATAAATAATATAATACAAGGATTAAAAAAAGGAATAATAGTAAACAAGATCTGAGGAAATCTTAAAGCTATTTATTTGTGAACAAATTCTGGTACCCGAACGATGGAAAACGCAGAAGGACGAAGAGAAGGTAGGATAGGATACAGGTAGACCAGTTGGAGAGGCAAAAGACATAGTTAAACATAGACGCGACATAATAATTTAACTACTTAACTTTAGTTAGTCTGCAGTGTAATAATTTTTGTAAATAGAATTTAAGTGTAGTGGTCTGTTGCTATAGTATCTGTTGTGTATGTGTATTATATACATTTGTTTGGCCTAAAGGTCTAGATACCAGGCCATAAACTCCAAAAAAAAAAATATACATTTGTTTATTAAGTGAGATACATACTCTTATTCTGTTTGTTTATATATATGGTTTAAATTATGTTGCAAATGAAAACAAATATTAATTATGATTTTTGATATCATACTCGTATAACAGATTATAACTAATCATATAGGTAGGTAAAATGTTTTGGATAGCCTGGTAAAATATAGGAAATACAATCGATTAAAAACGCCTCTGGTGGCCGATAAAAATAGTATGAAAAACCAGATTTTTATGAAAACTCCGTAACGAAATAAAACATAAAACTCGGTCGTGTAATTAAAACAACATCGGAACACACGCGTCGCATCTGGCGCAGGACGTGACGTCACGCGGCGCCATTTGCATTTTTTCCCGCCAAATGCGGCAACCGCACTTTTGTTGAGTGCGTATGAAACTTTTAAAAATTTAAGTGCACTTATAAAGTAGTATTGAATAAAATGCCACATCTGCGCTATAATGAATTATTAAGTAATATCAAGTTTTAAACCCTAATGTGGCAAAGAAAAGCACCATAATTACCGTTAACTTCCCATTTTATATGGGTCTAAATTTTTATATTCCCTCCGGTTATTAAACTACTACTACCCTAAGTGACACGTTGATGAATTTCATTTATAATAACGAAATAATTACCTAAATAACGGACTTCAAATAAAACTTTTTCAATGTTTATAACATTTAAGTTTTTAACCACTCATGAAAAAATATAAATACACTGCTTCCGAGCGCGTTCATATCACTGTCTAGCAAAAACCTTCGTAGAGTAGATATGATCTTAATAGGTCCAGCCTTTTCCCTCATCTGGCAGAAATTTTAGCACAATTAAACGTAGGCTTACTTACATTTAAGGTTTATTACATATTTTAAATAAAAAGTAGATTAGTGATGTCGACAAGTTAGGACATCACGGCCTGTCATGCCAAAAAAGTGCAGGCCGCTTCTCGAGACATGCCGCACTTAACGATATCATACGCCGTTCCCTTGCCACCGTCAACGTGCCAAGTCTTCTTGAGCCAAGTGGTATTGCAAGAGACGATGGCAAGAGACCGGACGGTATGAGTTTGATTCCATGGAAGATGGGTCGGGTACTGGTATGGGATGCAACCTGTTCAGACACGCTGGCCCCTTCCCATCTACATGGAACCAACTACAGAGCTGGTGCGGCTTGTGAAGCGGCTGAAAAAAATAAAGCAGGCAAATACAGGGGTCTGGGCTCTGAATATGATTTTGTCCCATTCGGTGTCGAGACCCTTGGTCCGTGGGGTCCTAGCGCTTTAAGGCTTTTTAAAGAAATTTCAAAAGGTTAGTCGACATCACAGGAGACCGAAGATCTGGCAGCTACCTCGGACAAAGAATTAGTCTAGCAATTCAAAGGGGGAACGCTGCCAGTATCTTCGGAACCTTGCCTAAAGGGACTCCTTTTAATGATATATTTTAGTTTATGTTAAGTTTCGTTATTTATTTCAATGTATATTATTTTATTATTATTACTTTATGTTTATAAGTTTAATTTTATTAATATTGTTACCATTACACTATATTTTAAATAATATACGGCGACATAGTGCACATAATGTTAATATATTACCATGGCAACATCATTTTTATTTCATTGATTACTGGCAAATAAAGAACAAAGCAACGAAGTTGTAATAGAATCTTTTGATATCAGAATTACATAAGGCGCTTTTGATTCGTATAAGTCCGCTGAACGTTATGAGACGTTAATAATATAGAAATTTAATTTAAAGTTAATTGGAAATAAAAATTTAACTATGATTGGTTTTTTAGTTTGTAGTCAGCAGCAAGGGGACAGTGATCTATAAATATGTATAAACTGGTATTTTTTTATTTCTTGCAGCAAGATTTATTTGTGAAGACACAAATTTATCAATTATATTGATTAAATTTATTCCCTATTTGCGTTCACTGGCTTTGTTATTTTGCATTCGCAATCCTGTCACAATAAATTTTAAAAATATTTGAAATTGCCCCTTACTTTTTAGCTTTTTGCTAGTGCATCAATATTTGGTATATTTTTGTAAATTTAAAAACTTCGCTTTTTTAATTATGAATATATTACATGTGTAAAATATACACAGTATGTATTAAAGTCACTACGACAGGAACACTCTAAGTCCGTGTTATATGTATTGCAACCTTATAGGAATTATTATAGGATTCCCTTACTTATAAAATACAATATTAAGTAGTTTTGTTTATGTATTTCAGATACATGTATTACTTTTCACCTCTCATGGTCTCTGTCAATATGCGATGAACACGGGTATGCGGGCAGATGTAACATTCGATGATGACAATGAAAGGTTTGAATTAGTATTTTTATTAAATAATATATTCTTCACTTTATAAGTGATGTACATTTTCGTCTCTTGTTTGATGTGATGAATATAGAAAGATGATTGCTGTAGTCAAAACGGTGAATTAAGAGGTATTATTTTGAACGTTGGCCTGAAAGTTAAAAAAAATAATTTAATATTTTTTTTTTTTTTTTTTTTTCCTTTTTTTTTTCCCCTCTTCTCCCCACCGGGAGGGCCCCCCCCCGTTTTAAATGGCCCCTTTTTTTTTACCCCCCCCCCCCCCCCCCCCTCTCTCCTTTTTTTTTTTTTTTTTTTTTTTTTTTTTTTTTTTTTTCTCCCCCCCTTTTTTTTTTTTTTTTTTTTTTAAAAAAAAAATTTTTTTTTTTTTTTTTTTTTTAAAAAAAAAAAATATTATTTTTTTTGTTTTTTTTTTTTTTTTGGGGGGGGGGGGGGGTATTTTATATTCTTCCTTTTCTCCCCCTCCTTTTTTTTTTTTTTTTTAAAAAAATTTTTTTTTTTTTTTGTCCCCCCCCCCCCCCCCCCTCTTTATATTTTTTTTTTTTTTTCTCCCCCCCCCCCCCCTCTTAAACACCCCCCCTTATTTTTGGCCCCCCTTTACCCTATATGGCCTTACAATTAAAAAAAATGATGACAAGGTGTTTTATGTATGTTCATATTACTATATAATAAAATACAATTGGCTTTTAACTATGGTCGCTCGGGATTAATTAATTTAGAGAAGATAATTAATTAATCTACACGTACATGTTTAAAAGGATATTGATTTATATCTCTTTTAATCCATTCATTATTGGATTATATATACACGCTTATACTAAATGATTTAAACCATTTACGGCAAAACTATGCTGGTATATATTGGGTTATAATAATTGCATTCTAAGCAATTATTAAAGAGTGTTACAACCCCATTTATGTCCTCCGTGTTTTAGTTGCCTGTTAACCTGGAGAAGCGAAATAATATTTGTTTCAATATAAAATAATCAATGGCAAAGATAACTATATGTTCATAAGATTAACTAAACTTTAAAGATTAACTATTAAAAGGTCACTTTGTAATGATGATATATATTCTTCCTATAAGAAATACGGTAAATTTGTCGAATCACAGCATCACCTGATAACAGTTCAAATTATCGTTCTTTACGACTTGTATGTAGACAATTAATATTAAGGAAAGGCATGGCTTAAACATTAAAAAAACTGATAATATTACATGCATGATGTAAATGATATTGTCTCAGTTCCCAGTGGATCCCAGTGAATTGGGTTAAAAATCATGCGCCCCCACATTATTGCATAGTGATGATAATATGTAGAAACAGATTTGAAGCTGTTTTAAAGTGGAGCCGTGTTTCGACAAATTTACCAGAAATACATTTATTATTAAAATCTCTTGTAGGTTTGACCTTAGCAATCTCATTCGCCAACAAAATGCCGTCAGGACTAATGCTTTTGATCCTCAATCTTCTGAAGAATATAGACGAATGGGCCACAACTTCAGAAAAAAAGCAAGAAAAATGCCAACAAGCATCGCTAGATCTAGAGATAAGCTTTTACAGCAAATTCAGAAAGAAAGGTGTTATACGAACTACATTTTTTATGATTGCTTAAACATTATAAATAGACTAAAAGTACAGAAAACGTCAAAAAACCACTAAGGTGTTTAACCTTGGTGCCTAAAGTGGCCACAGTACCAATTACATATAAACTAAAATAAAGAGTTAGAAATTACTTGATCCCAGATAAATTAAGCCAATAAAAAGCAAACTATTGTTGAATCCTTTCTGTTAATCAACTACATTATGTACAACCACTAATTACTGTTTTCTAATTTAACTGACCGTAATATCTATAACAAAATAACTCCATATTGCCAAACTAACGACTAAAAGGATGTTTACCACTGAACTCTGCTGAAAATTCCAGTTAAACGAAAAATAAACCGACCTTGACCAACCAATATCTAACCTTTTATTTAATTTACAGAAAAGAGCGATTAAACCACATAATAAATCAAGCCTTATATCAACTACACCAAGGGAGACGATTTGATGACTTTGCATACCATGATGGCATGGATAGCGATGGCGAGAACATAGATGACTTCAATACAAATTTAGAAAGGTTGACCAATACAAAAGTCAATAAGGATACAATTAACACCAGGCGCAATTTACCCGTTGAAGATGAAAAAATACTTATGCATTACGCATTCCCAGTTAATCTAAGAGTTGAAGGTTATTTACAAACTCCATTAGAATAAAGCTTTGAATTTATGGTTTGTTTTTTGCTGCTTAAACTGACGTAACAAAACTTAATCATCTGTAAATTCCAAAGATTATAAATAAAGATATAAATTTTTGGTACTCTTATAAATATAGCAAAATAGGATCAATCTTCAGCATTTGTTATTTAATTGGCTTTTAAAGCAGTAGTGTAGCCTGCACACAATAATAATTTTTTTGACAATATTCAGCATCGTATTAACAGCCTACGCAACCCGAAATAATCGTGACTTAATTACATTTGTTCCTATTTCACGCTAAATTACATATTTGATTAAAAGTCAATTATGTACGAAGTCACTCAGGGAAAGTGAAAACTTTGTTGTTGAGCCCACGTTATGTAGGGTTTAGTTCCAAAAATGAACTTAAAGACACATAATATGTCGCTTGTACTTATAATTTTAAGCGTATTATTAGGTACTAGCCTACAAAAAAACCCAAAATCTAAATTAATATTTGAGATTTCTGAAGTAATAAATGATTTAAATAATCCAAAAATAATAGAAAGAAGGAAGATTGAAGTTCCAGTTTCACGAAATTTCTTAACACAAAGCAAATATTTACGTGATGCAAATGACCCAATTATTGATCGAATATGTAAGAAAACTGGCTGTTCGTGCGGAAGATCAAGCTTTCGGTGTGATACACAAGATGTTTTTGATGTGGCAAACGATGTTGAAGACGTTATTCGTAATATTGATAGGCAGATTGATATACGTGACCAAAGTAATGAAGCTGATGATTTACTGCGCTGTGGTCACGGCTGCAAGAAAGTGTACAAACATCAGAAAAAGGTGAGTGATTCGTTCACAGAAGATTTTAACATGGATAGTGTAGAACGGGATAGTGGCGATCAAAATCTTCTAGAAGCTGTTCTTTCAGAACTTAATGAAATATCTACAGTCGAGAATGAAAAAGACCAAAAACTATCAACACGAGATGCCCTTACGCCAGAAGACATATATGAATACTACAGAGAAGCCATGGATCGAGTTAGAGAAACACTCATGGGCTTTATTAAATATAGAACAGGTTTATCGGTAGTAAGACACTTACCTAGGGAGGTAAGAAAAGGTATTCAAGCTATACGTGATAGATATAGACATTTCAAAATGTCTGATAAATCTCTAAAAACACAAATTTTCCAAGTTTTGATAGATGATATTCGAAAAATAAAAATCGTCCCAAACAGAGATGCTGAAGTTTCCTATGACGTATTTATGCCAGATTGGATGTACTTGGAGCTAGTCAAAAAGAAATCGGGAAAGCGATTACGGAGTAGAAAGCGCTCAGCAATGAAAAGAATCCTACCATTAACATCGCAACAAAAAGTACGGTTGTTGAACAAACTAGGACCTAAGAAATTAATTAAATTCGTTTGGAGGAGGAGTTCGGGTTCTGACATAAGGCAATATGGAGTTCCATTTGTTTTCGATATACAAGGCCTAGCCCAATTAAATTAGGACTCTAATTGAATTATAAATGGTGTCTCTTAAATAATAAAATTGGTATATATTTAAAGGAGACTACTCATTTTTTTATTTATTTATTAACACTTCGTAGCATGTACAGGACAGTACATACTAATAAATTTGAGATAATTAAATGAAAGGGAGGGCAACTGGTGGCCTTATCGCGTTGGAGCGATCTCTTCCAGGCAACCATTGTTTTTTATTATTTATTTAAAGATACCTTACCCTATTTTATTATTGTAGAGATAAAAACTATAAATTATTTCAAAAATACTTTTATATTTATCAATTTTCGTACACAGTGATTACTAAAACCTAACAATTGCGTATTACATATATTCAATGTTTTTCTTTCTCCTGGAGTTAAAAATTATGCGAAGAATATTTCATAGAGTGGCCGTGTGCGCTTTTTTGCCCTAACATAAACAATCGCAAAACTAATTATAATTAGAGTAATAAAAAATAATTGAAAATCTATTCATATATCAGTCATTATTATTTTTTAAACCAATTTTGTTTCTGATGTAAAAAATGAAAAGAAGTGTTATAATATTGTTCATTAATTGTTTATTAAATCTTCCTTCAAGTAAAAGCTCTTTTTTTAATAACTTTAAACCTAGAATCGGAAAAATAATAAACGAAGTATCGTCTCGGAAAGAGAATATTGGCCGTCAAATACAGAATCCTGAACACGAAACTTATAATAAATTCGATAATGTATTGGAAGACCTTACTGTTTTAACTAATAATGGATATGTTAATGAAATGGGAAGTAGAGGAGATGAAATGTGCGAGAGATTTGGTAGATGTGGATGCCGTAGTTCAGAGCGGTGTGGTAATAATAAAGATATTGATAAAGTCATAGATGATGTAAATAAACAAATATTGAAAGATCTAAAAAAATCCAGTCTTAAATATGAAGAAGTCAAAAGCAAAGAAGAAAATTATATAAATAATAAAATAAGAAATAAAGAAGTTCTTGTTGTGGTGATGAAGCCTACGGAAGTTAAAGGATTACTTCAATCACAAAGATTTAAGCGAAAACGTACTAAAAATCTTTTAGAATCCATAATTTATGAAATTTTAGATTTGGCCAAAGTTGGTAGTAATGAAATTATGAAACTTAAACGGTCGCGAATACCGTTTTCACCAAAAGAAATAACGAAATATTACAATGAGTTTAAAGATGAGGTCGTTAATAGAATATTTAAATACGTAAAAAATATTCCACCTAAAAAACCATTGCCTTACCTGACTCTCAAACCTAGGTGGGAGTTCAAAAGGCTCAAAGAAATGTATAAACAAAATAAAATGAAAGATTCCGAATTAAAACGCGTCATACTTGACATGTTACTTGGTGATAATAGTAATATGAAGATTTATCCTCATAAAAATAGGAATGCATACGAAATTGTTGTACCGAAATGGGTTTATTTAGCGTTTTATAAAATGAGAAAATATCAAAAGCATGGTTTTGAATAAAAAATTTGCAACGTTAAGTATAATTTGTTATTTGAAAGTAAGTGTTTTTTTTTTAAGTTTTTGCCTTGTTAAGTTATACGTATTTTTACATAACAAAATATTTATACTAGGTAGCCACATGGAAATACTATAATATTGGAAACAAGTATCAGAAGTAATAACGCGTATGAAAACACGCGATATCAGTTCTGTAATCAGCAGGGCTCTTCTGTTAAACCGATTCCGATTTTCAATGGTCATGACGTCGTTAATCTATTTGATATTGATAGTCCATTACATTCGCTAATTAGTCCAGGCGCTAGAGGTACATTGGGTACATGGACATTTCCCTTAGACAGATTCCAATCGACGCTGTGACTAAACAATAGCATTAATCCTACTACTTTCAACGGGTTTGAGATTATTACCATAAGAACGAACTATATAAATTATTACAGAAATCATCATTAAAATGATTTTATATCATGTACTCAATACATTCACTTTACGCATAAGAGAAAAGGGCTACCTTTTTTTTTCCTTGTGTTTCCTTTTTCCTTCTCCGGATAGCAAAAAATGGACTTTTTTTTACATATATTACAAATTGGTTTCAAATAAAAAACGCAAATTTCTTGAATAGAGTATATCTAGCCTAATTTAAATTATCTCTATACTTCTCGTCTCATTCTCTACCCTAGGATAAACCTGTTTGTATATCTTTTAAAAATAAGTATCTTTGTTTTTTTTTTTTTTTTTTTTTTTTTTTTTTTTTTTTTTTTTTTTTTTTTTTTTTTTTTTTTTGTCACGTTATCACTTCCATACAAGCAACAATTATCATGTTAACATTTGACAGTGATAGATGACAGATTGTTAATTTTACTCGGGACTCGGGAGTCGGGACTTCGGGCCAGTGTTGCCAATTTAGCGACTTTGTCGCTAGATTAAGCGACATTATAACATGAAAAGCGAGATTTTATTTCAATTAGCAACTAAAATAATTTCGCGACATTTCTGGCGCCTTTTCAAACTTGTTTTTTTTTTAAATATAATAATATTCGAGATGATTTTATCCTAACAGGCTTTGTAAACGCGCTACTCAATGTCAAAATACATGTTGTTGGGTTTGTGGTCTCTTGTATGTTCCATAACCCCGATGTTGTTGTCAATAATATAAACCTTTTATTAACTCAGTTAAACTCGATTTGTCATACTATTTTTAGTACCATGAATTTAATCAAATCAAAACTACGCAATCGCATGGGGCTAACAATACTGAATTCTATTATAATGCAACTTCCTGATAATACCATGATGTCTCAAATTTATAATTGTTACGAAGACGCGGATGAACACGAAATAGTAGATTTATGTGTTGCTGTCAGGGGCCAATAATTTGGTTAGAATAGGGTTAACTTATTTAAGTTTTGATTTAAGATTTTTTTAATTACATAAAATGTAAATATTATTAATAATATAATGTTTGACATTACTTTATAAAAAATGTGGTCACTGAAAGTCATCGTCCTATCATTACCTAACAAGATACTTATCGGGATAGCCCAAAAGGGGGAGCTCGTTTATGCGAATAAAGAATATAATACATATTTTTTTTAGGTTTTTCTTCATAGCAAACAAACTTTCATCATCTAGCGACTTCTAGCGACTTTTTAACCTTCGGTCTAGCGACATTAGCTTTAATAGAGTTGGCAACACTGGTTCGGGCTCGCATTCTTAAAAATCAAAATACTTCTGTATATCTTTATGTCGGCCTTAGCTGAATAAAAATAAGAAAATTTGTTTATAGTTATCCTCGTAACTTTTTCGGAAAGTTTAATTTGACTTTTAAATATTCAAAGGCTTAGTTAAAATTATAGCGAAAAATGGCCAACGACACTCCTGAAAGTGACTTCTCTATCGAATGCTTTCAAAACTATTCAGCACCAGAAGTATTTGTTCAGGGATTAGCGGGTATGGTTGATCAATCTGATGTCGAAGTGATAATACGAGCACAGAAAACTATGTAAGTTAGTAACTTAGGACATTGATTTCCACTGGTTAGTATAACTGGATAGTTCAAAACTATGTACTCAAATCTATGGATGTTCATATATTAGTTTAAATGGTAATGGTTATGTCATGCATGGTCTATATAAGTGCATACATCTTTGCTACTGGCAGTAGAAATTGTGTAAAATAAACAATTTCAGGTTACAGAGATTTGAAAAAACAACAGAAATGTTAACAAATTGCAACCAACTCTCAGCAAGTCGCCTTCGAGCTGCATCTGTGGAGTTTAAGAAGCACACCCAACTACTGTTGGATATGAAAAAGGATTTAAACTATATATTCAAAAAGATAAGGGCTATTAAAACTAAGTTAAGGTAAATTTAATGGTGGTATTTATTAATTTGTTGGTAACAGTGTTTTCATGTTAAATATGCAATGCTTTTAATCTTAGTAATTGAAAAATTATTTAATAAAAAGGTCATTGAAAAATGTTAATGACACTTTTTGAGTAGGATTAGTGATTTCTAGTGGTTCTCGTTAGTAGGTTAGTGTGAAAACTAGCATTCAATATTATTCACATATTTATTTATCCACCTTAACTAGGAATTTATAAGATAAAATTATTTATGATGTGTTTCATTGCTCTTAGTGTAGAATGCAAGATTTTAATCCTAAATATGTAACCAACTCAACTTTTTAAATGTTTTCAACAAATAAATTCACCATACCCTCTCTGTTCCAGCACTCAGTATCCTGAAGCCTATAAAGTTGCTGTAGCATCAGCTGCTGGTAATATAAAGCCTCTTGATGAAGAAGAAGAAATAAAACCTTCAGAATCAAAAATACTATCTAAAATGGTGGCCACAGTTTCTACAGAAACTTTGAAACCAATAGACAAAAAGGAAAATGTAGATAAAAATGTCAATGTAAAAAAGAAAAGCAGTAGTTCCTCTGAAACAGAAAGTGCAAGCTCTGGAGATGATAGTAGTACTGACACTGGTTGAATGTAATGTTAACTGTGTAATTATTAACTTTGTTAAATGGTAAATGAAGCTTCCTGCTTGTACCTTTATGTCTGAGGTGAGAATATAACATGAAATGTGTATAGCATGAAATTTAATTAACTGAAAAAGAAACTGTATTTTGATGTAAACAAAATTTCTTATCTTTATTGCCAACCACTTTGTTTTGTTTGGCCATCTGCATCGGTTTTAAAGAATTCGTCAAATATTTATAAATAAATTGGCAGAATTCTCTTCACACATAAATTAATTTGTGTGACAAATTATAGTAAACAGATTTCGTCAGACAAATTTTATTTAATTAACTAAAATCAACTTTAGAATGTAAATACCCTTAGGTTCCGGATTTTTACAAAAGACTTTCACCCAACCTAAATCATCTGCAAGTCAAAAGTTGTGTCAAATATATTATGCCTGTATAGATCTGCATTGTGAGTTTTGAGTGAACCAAAAGTTTCAGAGAGCTTGAACTTTTCTCAAAGCTAAGTCTGTCTCCCATATATTATAGATGTGTTGGATTTTGACATATGGAAGTCATAGTTTGCACTAAATCTCACCCTTAATATGTATGTAAGTTTAAGCCTTCTAGTCTGGCAAGCTCACTTATAATATAAGGCGATTACACCCGCCCCCGCGCTGATGATCGAATAGACCCAGAAAGCGTTTTTGAATGACCGTAGCATAAGCGCGCACGGTGGTCAGCGCCGATGGCTGCGCGGCCGTACGCGTCGCGCGTCGGCGCCGCGTACTTCAGCGCTGACGTCGCTGCGCCTCTGTTTGTGGCGTTGTGTGTCCAGCAGAGCGGACGTCGTCAGCGTGTACAGTCATGGCAAATCGCGAAGTGGATACAGTCGAGTTATCGACGAGGTACGCCTGAGGAAGAAATTGTGGGTGCTCCGTCCACTCTACAAAAATAAAGTGCAAGAAACAGCCTGGGGGACATTGTCGCCTTGTTTGATATTTTGGGTCTCCTGCAACCCCTCTGCTCAATCAATGGCAACTGGTCTTCGTGTCGCCGGTTTTTGATAGGTAGTACAAATCAGCAATACTAATCACTCCGCATTTTGGTCTTCGTCTGTACAGTAAGGCGGTCAGTACGATACTAAAACGCGCGGATCCATGAGCGCTGACGGTGAGCGTGAGACTAAATTCAGCCTAAGTATATTAATATAATCTAGTAGGGAATAGATCAAGCTATGCTTGTCTGATGAAAATGAATAATGTATTATAAGACTGTATGTTACCATTTCTGTTACTTTATATAGTTTAAAATATTCAACATTCCTAACTAATAATAAATCCTATTTTGGAGGGATTTATAAAAACAATTTTTTACCAAAAATAGTTTTATTTTGCTTCAACTAAAGAACACTTAAGAATAAAAAGCCAATACCAGCACCGTAAAAGTTTTTTTTTATAAAAAGAAAACTTAGGGTTTTGTAATAATAAAGTACCATTGTCCCTAAAAGACTAGACTTGTAACATTAAATATCAGTCTTCACATTTTAATCAGATTACCAAACATTAATCTTAATCATAGACATCCCAAAGTATTAGTTTGATTATATTTAGTCTTACAATATTTTTTCTATGAGTATGCTGTCCACTTGATGTCTGTAAACCACATGAACGGAGTATAATAATATTGTAAAGTAGTTATTACATAATATTTAATTTGATCCAAATAGTTACACTATTAACCATTCCTATTTACTAAAGTATTATCAAAGGATATTTACACAGCATATGCTTTAGTATGTTTTTTGGCATTTTCATTAAATAAATCAATATTATATTTATACTCCATAGCTATTTCCGTTACCAAAGGGTCATCAGGATTTGGGTTAGCAAGTAGTGTTTGAATTGATATTAAGAGTGTTTCTATGGTAATTGTAGGTAACCAAGATCCCTTAGGCGGCATTTTCAGCATGTTCATACATATCCTTCCAACTGAAATATTAACATTACTATTTTGTGAGATATTTTATGGAATTGTATATTATGTTATTTTTTTATTTAAGACGAAAGCATGTTTATTTAATAATTTGTTACTACTAATACTCAAATCTTAATAATAATTATTACAATAATATCCAGTTAAAAAATAAATCACAAGCCTTGTGATACTTTTTAAGAAGTCATAAACATTATTTACCTGCATCAATATTTGGATGATAAACTGGTGTCACAAACTTTACTTGAGGTGGTTCAAAAGGATACCGGTCTGGAACATTTATCACTAATTTAAACTGTCCACCTTCATAAGGAGAGCCTCTAGGCCCACACATATTTATCATCAGGACATCGAGAACATCTTCTTTCTCCGGACGACATGTAATTCCCCATGGGGGTTTATTCCAAAAACTTTTCATTTCGCGGGTTAAACGCACAGATTTGGCACTTGACATTGTAGTTTATTGATGTTAAATTCAGGTAACGTATCTTGATTTGTAGAGTTAATAACTTTTACGTATATGATATACAGCGTACCGAAAAGATACAATTTATCAAAATTTTAATTAAGTGATATAGTTTCAACTTTGTTGATTAATAGTTAATACTTAATAGATTCAAATACATATGTGATATGTATAATGTAGACAATAAATAATAATGATGTATAATTGAAATTTGAATACAGATGTTTTTTTTTTTTTGGAGTTTATGGCCTGGTATCTAGACCTTTAGGCCAAGGCATACAAGTACAGCAGATTATAGTGTGTACTGTGGGTGTGTACCCACAGATTAAACACATACATATACCACAGACCGAGTAGATATACTAACGCACGACACAGGATGTTTAGAGTACTTACAGAGAAATTAAATACTATTAGAATATTTTAAAATGTTATCAATTGATTTTAATTTTTTTTGACTTTGCATAACACGATGCCGCTGTTTATTTCGCTAAGATTTTGATTCATCTTTGTTCCACATTAAACGTGAATAACTCTGACAGTTACAATCTAATGTAAGTACTCAGTGTAAGTGTCAACACTCAACAGTTCGATTGAAGCCTGAAGGTTTGAATTTAGATATTTGACATTTTTAGTGTAGGAAATTTAAGCGGCGGTGTATCACGATATTTAATTTCTAATAAACGCTTGCGGTAATTTAATGAAGTCTATTTCGAATAACCACGAATAAATTAAAAACTCTTAAGCTCACGTTCAAATTTGATTATTTCATTTAATTCCAGTTGTGAAGTTATTAATAACGTTTAGCAAGACAACTCAACAAGATCCGCCTGTTTAGGTAACAAGCCTTCGATTCTGTAAGTATAATAAATATAGTTTTTAAATAATTTACAAAATATGTATAATATGCAAAAATAAGCATTGCATAAATATATATATTTTTTAAATCTAAGTGCAGTATAATATTATAGAGTTTCTACGAAATCAATAACGACTTGTATAGCCAATAAAAACTTAAATTGTGTCACTCGGTATTATATGGTTATGAGACTTAGTTTTATCGATTTTATTTCTGTGTAGTCTTTATAAGTCATCTAGACCATTTTTATGTAAGAAAGTACGACCTAGTTATCGAGCGATATTCTGTAAGGTCGTATGCCGGCTATGTCGATCACTTCCTCGAATGTAAAAATTGCTCCTCTTATATCCAATAATTCCGTATTATTGGCAAGGTAAGCTCTTACAACTTTATTTTCCAATAGCATTAATTACTTCAATGATGTCTTGCATGCGGTTTTGACTACTTAGGTTCACTAAGAATTGTTCTATTTTGATGTTGCAGGAAATATAACTTTCAAGTTACATGCTCTTCTGTGAAATTTCTACTTAAATTTTGCTTTTTGATTAATAAAGAGTCAAATATCTCATACACATACTATAAAATCTGGCCATTTATATACACTACACACACACACTACAATTATTTATTATAGGAGTTTTATGGAGTACAAGTAATTACTAAAAGAGCTAATTAATAATTCTATGTGCATGAACCAATACCTTAGGAAGACTATAAAAAAAAAATATATGTATTCTATAATAATCCAATATGTTACAGACAAATGTATGCTATAATTCTTATATGATGTATTTTGAAAACATCACTTACAATATCCTTAAACAATGGTTTAAACAAATATAATTGTTTTGACTTGGGAATATTAAATATTCTTTATTATGAAATGTTATATAATATGCATTAATTGATAGAAAAGTTATTTTACAATGGAGCATAAGTAGTATTAATTTTATTAACTTACTGTGTCTGATTAAAGAATCTGATAAAAGTCTGATTTAAGAGTCACTTCACACTTGTATCTTTTTTTATTTTATTTTTTTATTGATAAAAAGCTTGCCAACGCTCGGCAAACTGATACACTGGTAAAATCAAACAGAAAATAAAAATTTTAATGTGACAAGCACTTAAAGGCAAACATGACACACATGTAGAGTTCATACAAGTATCAATCAAAACAATTATTAAACAAAACAAACATTACAAAAAAACGATTACAATAAAAAATAAAAAATTACAAAAAACTAAACAAAAATCGATTTTATAGTGTGAGGGGAGCAGCTATGGATATCTTTCAGATTCAAATATAATTTTCAAACATCTACAACTTTACCCTCTTATTCATAACCATAACATAAGCTTCAACTAGCCACAATAATAATAATAACTTTCTCTTTGTTTTATGAAGTGGGATAAGAAGCTGTACATGTATTGGTTTTGCTCATGTACATGTGTTAATCTAATTACTTTCTGGGGGACATAAATTTGTTTTTCACATATACCTGTGGCATAATATAAAACGTGACATTTCTTACAAGGTAAACATAAACTCATATTTACTAAACATATGGGACTTCCTTGTATGTATTAATAGAACCAATTCTTGGTAGCAGCTGTTCATTATACAATAGAATGCTTACTATGCTTATGCTTATGCTTACTAATGTCACGGTTGGCAACACCGTTGATAAGACGTCAACAAAACTTCTCCCAATTAATTAATTAAATTTTAATTAAATTTGTTTATATTTTACACTTAATTATCGATAATATACTAAGTAATAATCAATACTTTGTAAGAACAGTGCCATTTTTCCATGTTAAGTGTGTAACGAGGTGCAAAACTGTGTATTGTATCAGAAAAGCTCTGTCAAACTAAGTTAAACTGTAACGGTAATTGTAAAGTGCATTATCATCTTAAACTTGCGTGTAAGTATATTGATATTATTTCTTTATCACACACGTTTACTACAACGGTGTCTTGGTGTTTATTGCCAAGGGATTAACTTGAACTGATTAACTTACAACCTCAAACTTTGCAACTCTTCTTCTAACTTTGACTTAACACCCATCTGATTTGTCATTTCTCTATTTTTTTGCATCTGGATGGATAGAGTGATGACCAGAAGGGGGGGCTGCTCGCTTGGAGGAATCAAAACTCCAATTAACATTACAGGAATTAAATAAATACAAAAATTCTGTGTGAGGAGTTGCAAAGAGAACAAGATGACAATGAGAAGGAAGTGCTTCAAATTTTAAACAACAATACCAAACTCAAAAGTGAGATGGCTGAAATTCATAGCGAATTAGTAAACATCACAGAGGAACGGGATAAACTTAGATTATTTAGGTATGATCAATTTGATCAGTGCAGTGATGAGTTTGATTCAACTCTCAAGCTCAACGCTGGCCTTAAAAGTAGATTAAGTGAAGCCCAAGAGACAATCCACAAAATGGACGGTGCTAACCAGAAAATCCAGGCACAATATACACATGCTCTGTTTGATAGACTGGTTGGTTCCCCCTCCACTGCCTTCTGCCAACTCAGTTTTGGGAAATAATAACCAAATTGAAACGATAGACTTAACTTGTGATAACACAGTACAGAAAATAAGTTGTAGTCACAATAAGTTAAAGAAATATATTAAAATTAAGAAATCAATTAAGAAAACACAAAGATTTATAAAAAACAATAAAACTACCTGTAAAAACAATTTTAACTCATTAAATAAATGTAAACAGTTAAAATGTAAATTCGATCATAGAAAATTAAAATATGAGGCTGATATACAACACCTTCAGTCAGAGATTCTCCGTCTGCAGGAATCCTTGAACAGTATTAGTTCTAAATATGACACCTCACAAAAGGAAATAGGAGAATAGAAGTTACCAAATTGTAACATTTAAAAATAATACATGACTCATGTCTGGGAATAATGTATTAAGATTGATTGCAGTTAATAAGTGCAATTAGATGTGACTGAAACCAATTCCTCATATATGCCATTACAGATGGACTAAGATAACTTTAAGAGATATTAAGAACTTACCTATATTTCTAGGATACCTTCATGTATTATGTATTTATGTGTATGTGAAAATTTAATGTAGTGGACTAAATTTTTTTTTTTTTTTGCGGTGTCTTTTTTCATAATAGTGTCAGAAAGGTGTAAAATTAGTACTTTCGCTCACGCTGCTGCCTATCGAACGCGATTTCCCGCCTATACTTAAGCAAATCCTTCTCTAATAAGACTGCTTTAGATGTATTTTATTTATAAGATTATTTTTAATAAACTAGGGAGCTTTTGAGACAAACATAATACTCTGTAACTCAGGTTTGATTGATTTCCATGTTTCAGTTTAAATTGGCTGGTTATAAGATGTCTGACATAAAAAAATACAGAAGACTGGTTGGTCATTGTTTAATAAAACATACAGACAAGTATCAGGCATGTCCATCGCACAATTTACTACAATACTCTTCTATCTAGATAACGTTATAAATATAAATATTAAGGCGCAAATGTTATCGCATATACGTTTTAACTATGTTGGGTGAATTCCAAGTCCTTCAAGGTTCGGGCCCTTCAAGATTATACGAGATACAAAATAGACTCAAGGGATTGAAACAGATAGAAATGTTATTTATATGTCCTCATATGACAAATGTCAAATACTGCTGTTTGCAATGAACTCGATTGACAATATTCGGTGTTTTATTGGCGTTCAATTGTAACTTTATGGAAAGTCAGCCTGTTGACGTCCACTACTGAACATAAGTCTATCCCCTAATTACCTCGCGCTTTGCATCCAACGCCTTCCCTCCGCCTTCACCAGGTCATCTGGCCACCTAGTGGAAGGCCGTCCAACGCTGCGCCGACAGGTCCGCGGCCTCCATTTTATTAATAATCGATTATCTCCATTAAGACTTTTGCCCCATCGGCCATCCGTTCTTCGGGCAATGTGCCTCGCCCATTGCCATTTAAGTGTATACGCTCTTTTTTGCTATGTCAGTGACTTTAGTTCTTCTTCTTCTCTTCATTTCTAATTCGATCATGTAGAGAAACACCGAGTATAGCTCGTTAGCAAGGAGCATCTGTACCAGGCTTGGACCAAGTCTCAGAGCCGTAAG